CCACCTGTAACACACCTGTAACACCTGTAACACAGTCCATGTTCTGATCTCACCTGTAACACACCTGTAACACAGTTCATGTTCTGATCTCACCTGTAACACACCTGTAACACACCTGTAACACACCTGTAACACACCTGTAACACACCTGTAACACAGTTCATGTTCTGATCTCACCTGTCCCTCACCTGTCCCACCTGCAGACACGACGGGGTGGGGCGTGTCCCCCCGGGGGGCGGGTTACCTGTTCGGCAGTGACGTGGTGGCGCAGTTCATGTTCTGATCTCACCTGTAACACACCTGTAACACACCTGTAACACACCTGTAACACAGTCCATGTTCTGATCTCACCTGTCTCACCTGCAGACACGACGGGGTGGGGCGTGTCCCCGCGGGGGGCGGGTTACCTGTTCAGCAGTGACGTGGTGGCGCAGTCCATGTTCTGATCTCACCTGTAACACACCTGTAACACACCTGTAACACAGTTCATGTTCTGATCTCACCTGTAACACACCTGTAACACAGTCCATGTTCTGATCTCACCTGTAACACACCTGTAACACACCTGTAACACACCTGTAACACACCTGTAACACACCTGTAACACACCTGTAACACACCTGTAACACAGTCCATGTTCTGATCTCACCTGTAACACACCTGTCCCACCTGCAGACACGACGGGGTGGGGCGTGTCCCCGGGGGCGGGTTACCTGTTCGGCAGTGACGTGGTGGCGCAGTTCATGTTCTGATCTCACCTGTCCCACCTGCAGACACGACGGGGTGGGGCGTGTCCCCGCGGGGGGCGGGTTACCTGTTCGGCAGTGACGTGGTGGCGCAGTTCAACGCGGCCAACGAGGTGTCGATGATCTGCCGCGCCCACCAGCTCGTCATGGAGGGCTACAAGTGGCACTTCGGGGAGACCGTGCTCACCGTCTGGTCAGCCCCCAACTACTGCTACAGGTGGGGCTAATTACCTGTTAATTAGTTGTTAATTACGTGGTAATTAGGGGGTGATTAGGGGGTGATTAGGGGGTGATTGTAGGGGGGTCATGGAAGGCTACAAGTGGCACTTTGGGGAGACCGTGCTCACTGTCTGGTCTGCCCCCAACTACTGCTACAGGTGGGGCTAATTACGTGTTAATTAGCTGTTAATTAGGGGTGATTAGGGGGTGATTAGGGGGTGATTGTAGGGGGGTCATGGAAGGGTACAAGTGGCACTTCGGGGAGACCGTGCTCACTGTCTGGTCTGCCCCCAACTACTGCTACAGGTGGGGATAATTACCTGTTAATTAGCTGTTAATTATGTGTTAATGAGGGGGTGATTAGGGGGTGATTGTAGGGGGGTCATGGAGGGCTACAAGTGGCACTTTGGGGAGACCGTGCTCACCGTCTGGTCTGCCCCCAACTACTGCTACAGGTGGGGATAATTAGCTGTTAATTAGGTGTTAATTATGTGGTAATTGAGTGGTAATGTGATGTTAATTAGGGGGTGATGAGGGGGTGATTGTAGGGGGGTCATGGAGGGGTACAAGTGGCACTTCGGGGAGACCGTGCTCACCGTCTGGTCTGCCCCCAACTACTGCTACAGGTGGGGATAATTACCTGTTAATTAGCTGTTAATTACATGTTAATTAGGGGGTGTTTAAGGGGTGATTGCAGGGGGGTCATGGAGGGGTACAAGTGGCACTTCGGGGAGACCGTGCTCACCGTCTGGTCTGCCCCCAACTACTGCTACAGGTGGGGCTAATTACATGTTAATTAGCTGTTAATTAGGGGGTGATTTGATGTTAATTAGGGGGTGATTGCAGGGGGGTCATGGAGGGCTACAAGTGGCACTTTGTGGAGACCGTGCTCACCCGTCTAGTCAGCCCCCAACTACTGCTACAGGTGGGGTTAATTACGTGTTAATTAGTGTTAATTACATGTTAATTAGGGGGTGATGAGGGGGTGATTGTAGGGGGGTCATGGAGGGGTACAAGTGGCACTTCGGGGAGACCGTGCTCACCGTCTGGTCTGCCCCCAACTACTGCTACAGGTGGGGATAATTACGTGTTAATTAACTGTTAATTACATGTTAATTAGGGGGTGATTAGGTGTTAATTAGGGGGTGATTAGGGGGTGATTGTAGGGGGGTCATGGAAGGGTACAAGTGGCACTTCGGGGAGACCGTGCTCACCGTCTGGTCTGCCCCCAACTACTGCTACAGGTGGGGCTAATTGCATGTTAATTAGCTGTTAATTATGTGGTAATTAGGGGGTGTTTAAGGGGTGATTGTAGATTGGTTGAAGGGGGTGAGATGGGAGGGACACAAGGAGGGGGTGTTTGGGATGTCAAGGTGTGTCAATTATATGCTAATTAAATGCTAATTACACACTAATTATGTGGGAATTAGGTTGTAATAAGGTGGTGATTAGGTAATTAGGAGTTTGGGGGGACATTAATGAGATGTGAATAAGATGCAAATGAGATGTGTGCAAGACGCAAATGGAGATTAAAACGAGATGCAAATGAGACCATAATGAGATGCAAGTGATGAACGAAATGAGATGGAAATGAGCTGCTAACAATATGCTAATCAGATTTAATTGATATACTAATTAAATGCAAGCAAAATGAAAGTGATGCAAGAAATTAGATGTTAAAGATGTGCTAATGAGATGCAAATTACATGCTAAGTAGATATGAACGAGATTAAAATGATAAAACCTCTAGATGTTAAGGATATGTTAATGAGATGCAAATCACATGCTAAGTAGATGCAGACAAGATTAAGAGAACATGAAAGCTAGATGTTAAGGATATGTTAATGAGATGCAAATCACATGCAGATGGTATGTTAAGTAGATGTGAATGAGATCAAAACATTATGAAAACTACATGACTGTGGTATATTAATGATATGTAAATTAGATGTAAATGAGATGTTAATTAGATGCGAACAAGATAACAACTCTATGAGAGATAATTGCTATTGACATGCTAATGAGATGCAAATCAGATGCAAATGATATGCTAAGTAAACGCGATCAATATCAAAGTTATACAAAACCCAGGTGCTAATGAGATGTTAATTGAACACTAACGAGCTTCTCCGTGGGCGTGGCAGGTGCGGGAACGTGGCGGCCATCCTGGAGCTGGACGAGCACCTGCAGAAGGAGTTCATCATCTTCGAGGCGGCGCCGCAGGAGACGCGCGGCATCCCCGCCAAGAAACCCGTCGCTGACTACTTCCTGTGACCTCCTGGGGTGGGTGACACCTCACCTGGCTCAGGTGACACACCTGGGACACACCTGGGACAGGTGACACCTCACCTGTGACCACCTGGGACACACCTGGGGCAGGTGACACCTCACCTGGGGCAGGTGACACCTCACCTGGCTCAGGGGTCACACCTGGGGCGCGCGGCATCCCCGCCAAGAAACCCGTCGCTGACTACTTCCTGTGACCACCTGGGGCGGGTGACGCACCTGGGACGCACCTGGGGCAGGTGACACCTCCCTTGGCTCAGGTGACGCACCTGGGACAGGTAACACAGCCCTGGGACAGGTGACACCTCACCCGGGGCGGGTGTCACCTCACCTGGCTCAGGTGACACACCTGGGGCAGGTGTCAGCTCATCCGGGGCAGGTGTCACCTCACCTGGCTCAGGGGACACACTTGGGGCAGGTGTCAGCTCACCTGGGGCAGGTGTCACCTCACCTGGCTCAGGGGTCACACCTGGGGCGCGCGGCATCCCCGCCAAGAAACCCGTGGCCGACTACTTCCTGTGACCACCTGGGGTGGGTGACGCACCTGGGACACACCTGGGTCAGGTGACACCTCCCTTGGCTCAGGTGACGCACCTGGGACAGGTGACACAGCCCTGGGACAGGTGACACCTCACCCGGGGCGGGTGTCACCTCACCTGGCTCAGGTGACGCACCTGCAACAGGTGACACAACCCTGGGGCAGGTGACACCTCACCTGGCTCAGGGGTCACACCTGGGGCGCGCGGCATCCCCGCCAAGAAACCCGTCGCTGACTACTTCCTGTGACCACCTGGGGTGGGTGACACCTCACCTGGCGCAGGTGACACAGCCCTGGGGCAGGTGACGCACCTGGGACACACCTGGGGCAGGTGGCACCTCACCTGTGACCACCTGGGACGCACCTGGGACAGGTGACACCTCACCTTGGGCAGGTGTCACCTCACCTGGCTCAGGGGACACTCCTGGGACACACCTAGGGCAGGTGGCACCTCACCTGTGACCACCTGGGACGCACCTGGGACAGGTGACACCTCACCTGGGGCCACCTGGGACGCACCTGGGGCAGGTGACACCTCACCTGGCTTAGGTGACACACCTGGGACACACCTGGGGCAGGTGACACCCCACCTAGGGCAGATGTCACACCTGGCTCAGGTGACACACCTGGGGTGGGTGACACACCTGGGACACACCTGGGACAGGTGTCACCTCACCTGGCTCAGGTGACACACCTGGGACACACCTGGGGCAGGTGGCACCTCACCTGTGACCACCTGGGACACACCTGGGACAGGTGTCACCTCACCTGGGGACACCTGGGACTCAGCTGGGGTGCATCTGGGGCAGGTGACACACCTGGGGTAACAGCTGGTGCCTCACCTGGCTCAGGGGTCACACCTGGGGCAGGTGCCACACCTGGGACATTCTGTGACCTTTGGGTGACCCCTGGGTGACTTCAATGACCTCTGGGTGACCCCGTGACCTTTGGGGACCTCTGATGACCCCCCAGTGACCCCTGGGTGCCCCTCCCCCCCCCTCGGTGACCATCGGGTGACCTCATTGACCCCCTGGGGCCACTCGGAACCTTTGACCCCTCCCTTTTTTCCCCTCCCCCCCCCCCATGCAAATTTGGGGGCCAAAATGGGCAATTTTTGTTGGTTTTTCTTTTTTTTTTTTTTGGTGTTTTGCTCCGTTTTGGCTCCGTTTGATAAAAAAGACTCAAAAAACAAACCTGAAATTGTCGTGAAATTTTTGGGGAGGGGGGAGGGGAAAGGAGAGGGGAGGGGCCTAAGATCGACCCCTCCCCCTCTCCACCAAGATGGCGGCGCCCACGAATTAAGATGGCGGCGCCCACGGCCCAAGATGGCGGCGAGTCTCGCGAGAGTTCGCTGGGAGGGTCGCGGAGGGAAAGAAAGGGTGCGGGTGAAATCTCGTGAGACTCCGCCTGGGCGGGAAGAGGTGGGTGTTGGAAGGAAAAGAGGCGCGAGATCTCGCGAGATCAGCCCGTAGAGAGTCGTTGCGATCTCGCGAGAACTCGGGGAAGAGGGCGGTTAAAGTGGGGGGTGGGGCGAGATCTCGCGAGATCCCCCCTTGACATCCATTGCGCTCTCGCGAGAACTCGCCGCGGCGGGAAGGAGGAGCTGAGGGGGAGAAGGAGGAGGGGGGGTCGTGGGTTTCTGTGAGGGCAGGGCGAGATCTCGCGAGATCGCAACGAATGGCAATGGGCGCTCTCGCGAGAACTCGCCGCGGCGGGAAGGAGGAGCTGAGGGGGAGAAGGAGAAGGGGGGGATCTGTGTGTGTGGGGACCGGGAGATCTCGCGAGACCCCCCATTGACTCTTATTGCGTTCTCGCGAGAACTCGCGGCGGCGGGAAGGAGGAGGGGGGTGGGTTTCTGTGAGGGCGGCCGCGAGATCTCGCGAGACCCCCCTATTGACATCCATTGGGCTCCGCGAGAACTCGCGGCGGCGGGAAGGAGGAGCTGAGGGGCAGAAGGAGAAGGGGAGGACCGGGAGATCTCGCGAGAGCGCAATGGATGTCAATGGGGGGTCTCGCGAGATCTCGCGGCGGCGGGAAGGAGGAGCTGAGGGCGGGAAGGAGGGGAGGAGGGGCGGTCTGTGTGCCAGGGGACCGCGAGATCTCGCGAGACCCCCCATTGACTCCTATTGCGCTCTCGCGAGAGGTTGCTGCCCGCGCCGCCGCCATTTTGTCGCCTCTGTGTCCCCTCACGGAGCCGCCTCGGACTCCATTTCCCGTGAGCCCCGAGGAGGAGGAGGAAGGCGGGGGCTGACAGAAGAAGGGGGGGGTCACAAACACAAACAGGGCACGGGAGGGCTTTTTTTTAAATTTGTTTTTTGAGAGGGGGAGGGGGGAGTTTAAGGGGGAGGGGTCCGGCCGCCATTTTGTCGCCTCTCCCCTCCCTCACGGAGCCGCCTCGGACTCCATTTCCCGTGAGCCCCGAGGGGGGGGAGGTGGGAGGAGAAAGAGAAGGGAAAGGGGGGTCACACAAACACGGCACGGGGGGCTTTTTTTTTAATTATTATTATTTTTGTGGGGGGAGTGTAAAGGGAGGCCCGGCCGCCATTTGCCGGTGTGGGAGGCGGAGCGGCCCCTTCTCCCTCCCCTCCTCTTCCCTCCCTCCCCCCTCCCTCTCGTCCTTCCTCCTCCTCTTCCTCCCCCCGGTTCCTCCTCCTCCTCCCCCCCCCTCTCTCCGTGAGGCGCCGGGACCGGCCGGGAGCGAATCGGTAAAGGAGGTTCGGGGGCTCCTTGTGAGGGGTTTAGGGGGGGTCTTTAATGTGTTTGGAGGGTCCTTGTGTGGGGCCTGAGGGGTTTGGGGGTCCTTGAGGGGTTTGCGGGTTTTTGGTGTGGGGTGGGGGGTTCTGAGTGAGTTAGGGGTCCTTGTGTGAGGTTTGGGGGTCTGTGAGGGGTTTGGGGGTCCTTGGGTGGGTTTGGGGTCCTCTGAGGGGGTCTGGGGGTCCTTGTGTGGGTTTGAGGGGTTTGGGGGTCCTTAAGGGGTTTAGGGTCTTGTGTGGTGAGGGGTCCGTGAGGGGTTTGGGGGTCCTTGAAGGGTTTGGGGGTCCTTGGTGGGTTTGGGGTCTCTCTGAGGGTCTGATGGGATTGGGGTCCTTGAGGGGTTTGGGGTCCCATTGGGGGTCCATGAGGGGTTTGGGGTCTGTGAGGGGGTTTGGGGTCTCTCTGAGGGGGTTTGGGGGTCTGTGAGGGGTTTGGGGGTCCTTGAAGGGTTTGGGGGTCTCTGAGGGAGTCTGGGGGTCCTTGATAGGTTTAGGGGTCTCTGAGGGGGTTTAGGGGTCCTTGAGGGGGTTTGGGGGTCCATGAGGGGTTTGGGGGTCCATGAGGGGTTTGGGGTCACTGATATGGGGTGAGGGGGAGTTCTTGAGGGGTCTTGGGGTCCCATTTGGGGTCCTTGAAGGTTTGGGGGTCCTTGGTGGGTTTGGGGTCTCTGAGGGGTTCTGAGGGGGATTGGGGATCCTTGAGGGGGTTTGGGGTCCCACTGAGGGTCCATGGGGGTTTGGGGTGTCCTTGGTGGGTTTGGGGGTCCTTGTGGGTTTGGGGGTCTCTGAAAGGTTTGAGGGGATTGGGGGTCTTTGAGGGGGTTTGGGGTCCCATTGGGGGTCCATGAGGGGTTTGGGGTCTGTGAGGGGTTCGGGGGTTCTTGGTGGGTTTGGGGTCTTCTGAGGGGGTATGAGGGGATTGGGGGTCCTTGAGGGAGTTTGGGGTCCCACTGTGGGTCCATGTGGTGTTTGGGGTCTTTGAGGGATTTGGGGTCTCTCTGAGGGTTTGGGGGTCCTTGAAGGGGTTTGGGGTCTCTTGAGGGGGTTTGGGGGTCCATGAGGGGTTTGGGGTCCCTGAGGGGGTCTGGGGGTCCCTAAGGGGTTTGGGGGTCCTTGAGGGGTTTGAGGTGTCCTTGAGGGGTGTGAGGGGTCTGTGAGGGATCTGGGGGTCTCTGAGGGTTTGGGGGTCCTTGAGGGTTCTGGGGGTCTTCTGAGGGGATTTTGGGGTCCTTGTGGGTCTGAGGGGTCTGTGAGGGATTGGGGGTCCTTGATGGGTTTGGGGGTCCTTGTGTGAGGTTTGAGGGTCCTGAGGGGCTTTGGGGTCTCTGAGGGGCTTTGGGGGTCCTTGATGTGTTTGGGGGTCTCTGAGGGGGTTTGGGGTCTCTCTGAGGGGGCTTGGGGGCTCTGTGAGGGGTTTGGGGGTCTTTGAAGGGTTTGGGGTCTCTGAGGGGGTTTGGGGTCCTGAGGGGGTTTGGGGGTCACATGAGGGGTTTGGGGGTCTGTGAGGGGGTTTGGGGTCTCTCTGTGAGGGCTTGGGGGTCTGTGAAGGGTTTGGGGGTCTCTCTGAGGGGTTTGGGGGTCCATGAGGGGTTTGGGGTCTCTCTGAGGGGGTTTGGGGTTTTTAGGTTTGGGACCCTGAGGGGTTTGGGGGAGTCTATGAAGGGGTTTGGGGTCTCTTGTGGGGTGAGGGGTCTGTGAGGGGGTTTTGGGGTACCCTGAGGGGATTTGGGGGTCCTTGATGGGTTTGGGGGCTCCCTGAGGGGCTTGGGGGTCCTTGAGGGGGCTTTGGGGGTCCTTGAGGGGTTTGGGGGATCCTTGAGGGGGCTTGGGGGTCCGTGAGGGGTTTGGGGTCTGTGAGGGGTTTGGGGAGGGGTCCTTGAAGGTCTTTGGGGGCTCCTGAGGGGTTTGGGGGATCCTTGTGGTGGTGAGGGGTCTGTGAGGGGTTTGGGGGTCCCTGATGGGTTTGGGGGTCCTGTGTGAGGTTTGAGGGTCCCTGGAGGGCTTTGGGGGTCTCTGAGGGGGCTTGGGGTCCTTGAGGGCTTTGGGGGTCCTTGGAGAGTTTTTAGTGTCCTTAACGGTTTGGGGGTCCTTGAGGGGTTTGGGGGGAGCCCTTGATCAATTTGGGGGGTCCTTGATCAGTTTTAGGGGTCCTTGAGGGGTTTGGGGGAGGTCTTTGAAGGTTTTAAGGGGTCCTGAGGTGTTTGGGGGAACCTTGATCAATTTGGGGGCCATGATCAGTTTTGGGGGTCCTCGAGGGGTTTGGGGTTTCGATCAATTTGGGGGTCCTTGAGAGCTTTGGGCGTCTCTGTGAGGGGTCTGGGGGGGTCCTTGAAGGGTTTGGGGGGGGTCCTTGAAGTGGTTTGAGGGTCTCTCTGTGAGGTTTGGGGGTCCTTGAGGGGTTTGGGGAGTCCTTGATCGATTTGGGGGTCCTTGATCCATTTGGGGTTTCTTGATCAATTTGGGGTGGTCCTTGAGGGGGCTTGGGGAGTCATTGAAGCGGTTTGGGGGTCCTTGATCAATTTGGGGTGGTCCTTGAGGGGTTTGGGGTCCTTGAGGGTCTGGGGGTCCTTGAGGAGGTCTGGGAGGTCCTTGAGGAGTTTTTAGGGTCCTTGATAGGTTTGGGGGTCCTGATCAGCTTTGGGGATCCTTGGAGTGGTTTGGGGGTCTTTGAAGGTTTTAAGGGGTCCTTCAGGGGTTTGGGGGAACCCTTGATCAATTTGGGGGCCTTGATCAGCTTTGGGGGTCCTTGAGGGTTTTTGAGGGGTCTTTGAGGAGGTTTGGGGGATCCTTGTGGGGCTTGGGGTCTCTGTGAGATTTGGGGGTCCTTGAAGGTTTGGGGGCCTTGATTAATTTGAGGTCCTTGAGAGCTTTGGGGTGTCTCTGTGAGGGGTCTGGGGGTCCTTGGAAGGTTTTGGGGGTCCTTGAAGGCTTGGGGGTCCCTGAAGAGGTTTGGGGGCTTCTCTGTGAGATTTGGGGGTCCTTGAGGGGTTTGGGGGTCCTTTGCGGGGTTTGGGGACTTCTTTTGAGGAATCCTGGGGGCCCTTGATCCATTTGGGGGCTCCTTTGACTAATTTGAAAGCGGTCCTTTGAGGGGCTTGGGCCAGCCCCTGATCAATTCGGGGGGGTCCTTGATCAACCTTGTGGATCCTTGATCAATTTGGGGGTTCTCTGATCAGTTTTGGGGGTCCTTTAAGGTTTTGGGGTCTTGATCAATTTAGTCCCTTGAGAGCTTTTGAGCTCTTGGGGGGTCTGGGGGTCTCATGTCTGGAGGGGGTCCTCGAGGGCCTGGGGTCTTTGATCAATTTGGGGTCCTGGATCAATTTGGGGGTTCTGAGGGCCGGAGGCCTTGACCAGCCAGTCCATCAGTTTTAAACTCTGAAGG